CCCTCTCTGCCCACGCAGCTCCGGCTGTCCTGCCTGTTCCATTATTCCCCGGAGTCCTCCACCACTCCCGCCTCCCCTGGAAGGCACCCGAACACGGAGGGAGCCCATGCACACTTTCCTGTTATTCCAAGGTCATTACACCTGCTGTTCCCTGTCTACTGGAAGTTCTCTCCTAATTACCTGGAGGCGTCCAGTTGTGGCTGACAGTGTGCTCAAGCCTGTAGTGAACGTCGACACCCAAGAGCAGCCAGAGCGGAGCCAGCAGCCCGTACAGTGCGAAGTGCACACGCAGACAGCTGCCCCGAGTACCTGGCGACTCAGACAGGGTGCCGCCGCCCGGCGGTTAGCACGCTGCCCCGCTGCCCCAGCTGACGAGCACATAGCTGCCCTGTAAACCGTCATCTTCAATAAGGAAAATAAAACTTTCAGTGACATTTCCTGTGCATCAGGTAGACAGGTGAGGTGCTTAATTATCAAATGGCACCAAAGCTCACAGCTAAGGAAACTTACACATATACCAAAGTGGTAACCACATAATTCTTTAGAAAATAACTTCTAGTTTTTATTTTAAACAGCCACTTGTGACTAGTGTATGCAAGCCATTGAACTGAAGCGCTTTAGATGAAAACTAGTGGACTAGGAACCAGCAGTTAGCGTAATGGCTATGTCGCTGGACTCCCATGTAGTTGACCGCGGTTCGTGTCCTGGACCCGGTGGCTTAAAACTCACGCCGGGCGCATGTGCGTGCGTGCCCAAGATCCCAAGAGGAGAATGGAGGAGAAGGGATTGCGGCGTGACCATCCCCCTTGGGAGGTGATTTCTCACTTTCTGTCTCTATGTCTCTCTCTCTCTGTCTGGCGAGCGCACGCACCCTACAGTGAAAATCTCTCAAAAAAAAAAACTAGTGGACTACCGGAAAGAGCTTCCTGCTCTCAGCACTGGTACGGGGAGAAAATGTGGACCTGTCACAGGCCCGGGGACAGAATCTCAGATGCCTCGGGCCAGGTCCTGCATGGTTCTGGGCAAGCAGTTAACGTCACTGAGCGTCACCCTCTTTGGCAGCAGCGGGGATGAGCGTGAGCTCTCTGGGGCGCCTGTGGTGTGTGTGAGTAGCAGAAGCAGCATGTGACTTTAAAGAGCAGGAGGGCCTCTGTCCAAGGAGCTTTGGAAGGCCGTCAGTCACTGAGGGCACTGGCCCTGGGCTGTCTCGCTCTGGAGCCTCACGTGGGCCTGGAGCAGCCCAGTGAGTTGGACTGGGCGGGAAGGGGTGTGTTTGCGGTTTATGTTTCTTTGGGGGCTTTCCTTAGGAAAAACCTTAGGTGTGGCGCCACTTGACAGTCCGTAACGTGATTTTCAGCGTCACTGTGCACACCGGAGGTCTTGCTCAAGTACAGATCCTGGTCCAGGAGGCCACGTGTGTTTTGGATAAGCTCTTGGGCAACGCTGATGCTGTAAGTCCTGGGGCGACACTTCGAGCAGCGACAGCTGTACGCGATGCGAAGCAGGAGTGGCGAGTGCAGTGCGTGCTGGGACAGCAGCTGCTGAACGCTGAGCTCTCCCCTCCTTCCCCTCCCCTCGCAGACTCCGCCTTCGCCTGCAGACACCACTGTGGGCCAAGCAACCGGAGGCAGAGCGCGGAGGCAGCACGTGGACGTGGCAGTGGGAAGGTGGACGGTCGTCTATGCAGCTCTCCTTGAGGGAAGGTGCAGCCCAGACCCACCTTGCTAGAAGGGTGTCGACAGCCTGGCAATGAATGACAGCCTTGCCCCAGGCGTCTCCTCTGTCGCCACCCCCGCAGAGGGCCCTGCGACATGTGCCTTCTGGAATCTGGGGAGAGAGCCCGAACTCACGCTCTTGCTGCTTCCCCTGCCACTCCCCTGACCCTCTACGACCTTCCTTCTCTCTCTGCATATTTACCCGAGATGCCTGAGGGAGGGAAACTCACGCGCCCAGCGTGAGTTTAAGCCACCAGATCTGGGACTCGAACCACGGTTGATTACATGGGAGTCCAGCGACATAGCCATTATGCTAACTGCGCGATTCCCAAACTCCGTTTTCTTATTTTTAGATGCGTGGTAGACGGATTTCTGTGCTGGGTGAAGGACAATGAAGCTAAGCCAGATGTGAGTGATCTGTCACCCCGATTAGAGTGTGGGAGACAGGGTGTCCTTCCTTTGTCCTGTAACTACCAGTGCTCTTATCTGTCTCCATGTTTGACGCATTGGGTGTCCCTCCCCTGGATGTTTGTCTGCTCTCAGGACTGCCTCTCCCGACTTGCTGCACAACTGGACTTGGTCAGCAGCTGCATGTGGACAGCTCTGGAGGACATGGCCCCCACCCACTCCACGTGTGGACAGCTTGGGAGGACGTGGTCACCGCCCACTCCACGTGTGGACAGCTTGGGAAGACGTGGCCCCATCTGCTCCACATGTGGACAGCTTGGGAAC